ACGTCATGATGCTGCCTCCGCCAAGCTGACGTTATAGCCGTCATCCGGCGACAGAAGCTTGCCCTGGTACACATGCCCTTGCCGTGTCTCGGCCTCGACTCGGAGAGACGGAGAAGGTCGCAATGACAATGAAGGCAAAGCCTGGTAAGGCAAATCGATTCGTTGGCCCTGGAGTGGCTGATTATCCCTCGGATCCACCACAGGCGTAAAAACCCCGCTTGTGGCGACACAAAGCCAGTCTCTCCTAGCGGCCCTCAACAAGGACCGGATCTGGCAGCGTCTCTTGACACTGATGCGTGCCGGCCGGTCCGTGCACCGGCAGTTTTGTTACGGACATTGTGGAGTGCATGCTAATGAGCCTGCGGCTCAGCATGCGACGCAGACCATGGCAATCGGACAACACACGGAACATGGAATGGCGCCCATATGGCACACGGACCCGCTGACATGCTTTGCTGCCCAGCCCAGCAACAAGTGGCGTCGTACCATTCGCCAAGACACTCACCGCTACTCGCTCTGTGGTGCCAGGAAGCGGTCTCTGCCACTGCAGGATCAGCCAACCTCCACAGGCACGCCAGTTGACACGCAGGAAACCTTTCGCCATCTGCTTCTAGAATGCCCAGGCACCTCCGCTGCGCGCCAACGGCGGGGCATTCAGGAAGATCCACGCAGCAAAAAGTTCTCTCAACGGCAGTCGCTTCATAGCAGGAAGCTTTTTCCGCTGCTCAACCGCCTCCTCGGCACCCAGATGGCATTGTGCGGCTAGACGCGCCGGTAAGAGTAGGGAAAAAATAATAATGAGCATTCTCGCCACCATCGGGTCGTGGCGCACCTTGCGATCTCGCTGGTGACCCTCCTGCTCCACTGCTGCTTTGCGCAACAAGTCATCACAGTCATTTTCGTGGTTTGGTCGGCCTCATGTTGCGCTCCGGGTTCTCCTCCTTCATCGTCTTGCGGTGTTTCCTTTGCCGTCCCTGGCACTGTGACTCTCCCGTGACGGTTTTTTCCGAAGCCTCACTTCCCTGGGAGGTCCTCCCGCCACCAGCGTGCCCTCCGCCCAAAGACTCCGGTCCATTTGCACGCATCTGAGCGGCAGAGGCGCTGCCAGTGCCGGACGGATTGCAATCGTTACTTCGCAGTGGGTCGCTGCAGGATTGATCCTGCCTCGTCGGAGCAGTGAGTGGTCCTGCGGGGGTGGAATTGGGGTCCTCACCCGCCGTGTTTTCTCCACCCTCCTCGTCTTCCTGATTGCTGTCAACCTCAGAGTTCACGTTCCCCTTTCGTCCAGAGCCACCGGCCACGGTCCTCCTTCCGCAGCCATCACAGCCCGCGCGTGCTCAGCAGTCACCGCGCCATCACCAGCGGGCCGCACACACACACCGTCGCAGCAGCCGTCAAAAACACGCACGAGCCGTTGCACATCACTGCAGGAGCCAACAGGACGCAGAGGGCACGGCCAGTCATCATCACAAACAGTGGAGTCGCCCAACGCTGTGGAGCCGCCTGCAAAAGCACAGAAAACAAAAGGAGAGACACGGCCGCTACACCACGCACAGCCACCGCACAGTCACAAATGGCAGCAGCCCAGCAGCCGCAGCGCACACACACCATGAGGCAGTTGAAAGCAGTGAAAGGGCAAAAACACACAACGCCCCGCAGCAAGCAAACAGAAAAACACACAAAACAATTAGAAACAAAACACAGGTAAACGAACAGCAATGAAGTTAAAAATGTCAACACACAAAACAAAGGGCTGCACAGCATGGCTCCAGCGCGCACGCACCCATCCTCAAATGCGACTCCACGCAATCAGTTGTGTGCGTGCCATGCACATGAGTGTGTCTGGGGCGCGTTCAACGTGACGGATGCGGGGAGCGGCAAGGAGCACACAGCAGGGCAGCGGAAGCAAGTGAGGCAAAACACAATCATTATTTTATCCTGTTTAGCACATCGGACCACAGTGGACGCACACAAGTCCCCGCGGTTGGGTGCTGGCACGCACAGCCCACACAGAATTCTCAGCCCAGAGTGGTGTACGCCAGCGCGGATACGGCGAGCAGCAGCGGGGCACACACCCACGCAGAGCTGCTGAGGCTGCCGTCGCTTTCGCGAAGAAGTGACGGTGCGCGAGTGGTTGTCGTTGTAGTTGGCGCCTCTGTAGTCGTAGTGGTGGTGGTAGTTGGTGCTTTTGTCGTAGTTGTCGTTGTCGTAGTTGGCGCATTTTCCTTCTGAATTTGTGCCAATACAGAAGCTGTCACGGAACTTGATGCTGCTGCTGGGTTAGCGGACCCACCTGACGACCCTGACGCATCGGTGCCCGGACCTTGTTCTTCTTTTGGAATAGGCTCCGGTCTTTCTGCATCTGCATTCCCTGCCGGAGCGGGTTGCTGAGTGTCCTGATTTTCGGGTTCCCGTAACGCAACTTCCAGACGTGTTGAACTTGGCGCCGTGGAAGTATTTTTTGGCCCTGCACCACTTGTTCCCGGTGGCAAAGCAGGCGATGAATTGGGGCCACGCTTATCTTGATCTCCACCAGTCGCTGTCACGCACACGGACGGGCAGCAGCACAGGGCTAGCACCAGCAGGGCGCACAGCAGACGGCACGTCATCATCGTGAGTGTGGTCATTCAGTGGTGTGGAGCTGATCTGCACAGTGAGGGACATGGAGAGCAACAGGGGAGACGAGAGGTGCGGCAGACACACACAGAGGGCAAACACACACATGAGGAGAGGGCAGCAGCCAGGCATGCACCGTACGCCGCACACCACGCACGACACACACTCCAATCCACGGCAACAGGCACACACACACACAGCCCTGCCGCAACACCAACACACAGATGGAGGAGGGGGAAGCAAACAGGAGCGGCACACAAGGCTCCACCGCATGTACATACGGCGAGAGCGGTCCGTCGTGTCGGCACCCCTCACGGAGGGCACGCACACACGAGAATAGGTGCAGCGCACACAGCAACACAACGGCAAAGTAACCATGAAAAGGAATAGATCCCCGCACACCACGTGGATTGTTGGTCCACGGGAAGCGCAGCCACCACCGCAGCAGCAGCAGCACACGCAAAGTCAAGCGCAAGGAATGGAATAAAGCAGCCATTTACTTGTGTTTCTTTTTGGAGGGTGGAAGATGTCTGCATATGTTCTTATTGTTTTTGCGGAGGGTAAACCTTCATGCCTGCATCGTGTGTTGGGGTTCCTGCGGTGTGCACAACTGTTTCCTTCTCTTGTGAATTTTTATTGTGTTGGTGCAGCCAATAATTCAATTTGTGTTGTTCCTGCTTTTCGCTGGTAAAGTGCTGCAATAGATGCTTTTATTTCCTCCTTCGTTGCTGTGGCACCTGATTCCTCGCCGTTTATTGCGGTGGAAATGGGAATACGTGAGTGGACTCCCACGCACCAGAGCGCACCTTCGCTCCTATTTATTGCTGCACAGAAGGGCATGCGTGTTTGGTGGTGCCTCGACCATATATTTTGTGGGCGTACATTCCCCTGCAGGCTGAGGGCGGGGCGACGCTCCGTCGCGGTGCACTTCCCTCGCATGCCGCCCACTCTGATTCATCATGCATCGCCCCTCACATACTCCGTGGTGCCACACCGTCGATATTATTGCAGCCGCCATGATTCCGCGTATTTCACGCATTTGATTGTGCCACAATACATCCGCTCGTGTGGCCGCCGCATCCAAACAGCGGTGCCCAACACCGTGAGCGGCAGTCCACATCCCTGCATGTCCCAGCGCAGTGGTGCTTGACTGTCAGCCAGGCGCCAGACAACGCGAGAGTATTGTGCTGGCAGTACAACACACGGAGCTGCAGTGAATGACTCGGGCGGCGACGCATCTATTTATCGCAAGGCAGTGAAAAGGAGTCGGGCAAAATAATGCCGGCTGCATTCACGACACCATACCCACAGCCAAAGCATGCGACATGATGTGTGTTTCGCTGGTGCTGTGGAATGCCTGCAGACGACGTCACTAGTGGAGGCACACCACCCATGATCAGCGGACAGACGATAATCGGCATGGGAGGCCAGAAAAGGCAGCAACGACGTCAGCAGCAGCAGCTCTCACCCTCTCTCTCTGTTGCCTCCGAGAAGCAAATATTCCACCAGCCACAGCCGGCTGTGCCATCGTGACACTCCATGCACGTCGTGGCTGCGTCAACGCATCCTGCTCCCTGCAGCGCCTCAAAAGATGCCTCACTCCGTCCACTGAGTGCATCGATGCGGGCCGTGCCCGGGCTGCTCGTGAGGACCACAGCAATGTGAGGGTCACCGAGTCGCAGCATGTTTGTTGTGACGTTGTTGCATGGCACCTGCACACACACACGCAGCGCCTGCATCCTCCCCTTTTGTGTCCGCCGTCCGCCGGAGTGGCCACACACACGGGCAGCAGCAAATTCATTTCACCCTCGACAATCCAAAATCAACACCGACATCCCTCGCCACGCAAAGATCTCAGTTGCCAGCACGGGCCTCCTGCCGCTCTGCCATCGACGCCGAAACACGGCACAGTGCACGCACTTATTTTCCTCGTGTTCCGTCAGCCGTTTGGTTCACACATTCTTCGATGGGCTGACGCCCATAAAGGCACGCCACAAAAGCCACTGTGATCGCACAAGCTCTTGCGATGAGCGTCTGCGTGTGCATGGATCCGCTGCTCACACGTGCTGGCAGGCAGCCTGCAGCCGGTGCCCTCGTGCCATTTCATCGGCTCCAGCATGGGAAAGAGAAAATGGCCTATTCCTCGTGTACTTATTCCCACCAGCAGCACCAACACGCTGGTCGCCAGCCGTCATTCCTCAGCACATCCAGGAATGCTGAAAAGTGACGTGGAGCTGTCAGCCAGCAATGCCACAATCCCCGCACACATGTCGGCTCCACCAGAGAAGACACACAAACTACACACAACACCCCTCACATGTTTTCCGAACATCATTCCAACACACCGCGACACGCCAAACAGAAGTATTCGTCACTCCATGCACCTCCCCACACAATCAAATAGTCCATGCACCACGCACGGCAGCAGCTCACACCCGTAAAAGAAGTGTTCCTCGTACCAGTGTTGTCCGCGTGCTGGAGTGGGCTGCCCCGGCTGAGGCGAGCTACTGTCGGAAATATTGTTTGCGATCACTCACCCCAGGTGGCTGCGCAACCAGTGTTGGGCTCGACAGCACAGGCGCGGGAGCCCGCAGGGCACAGCCAGCACTTGCCCATCGTCAACGGCGTCGAACGCAGTCGAGATGCCGGTCGGGACTGCGAGAGAGCGGCGACGGCGACGGTGCAGCGCGGGACGCCGCCCCTGCGACGCCCACACTCCACGGCGATGCGCTCGCTCAGCCCTCGTGCCGTTTCGTCACGGACAGGCGTCACCACGTCGGAGACCGTGCGTCGTGGCGTTAATCGAGGCTGACGTCGGTGGCGTGCCAGCAGCGCTGACAGGCGGCGGTGGACCAGTCCTCCGCTCACCCCTAGCAGGACAGAGAGCAGCGGGAGGGCCGACAACTCTCCGTGCGGCATGCGTTCTTCCCGTGTCTGCGGATGCGAGTAGTGTCCCCCGTTTCCCAGGAACTTCGCAGGCTGCCGTCAGCAAGGGAGGTGCCACTCATCGTTCTGAGCGAGCAGCGGGCTGCGGGTACAAGATGGCGCAGCAACGCATTCAATACACCGCCGGGGCCAGGGGCCAAGACAAGCGAAGAGTCGCGAAAGGACAATTCAAGCGCATACAGCGCGAAGGGCCAAACCACATCCCGGCCACCAGGGGGCACGCAAGCACGAAGTGTGCAGACGGCAGTGGGGATCGCAGCAAGTGGGATTCAGACGGTGCGACGGACGAGCGGGTTTCACTGCTGCCGGATTTCGTCGGCGCTTATCAGCGCCACACGTGTCGTCTGCGTGCCGTAAGTGACGCACAGAGGCAAAAGCTACTGCGAGGCGGAGACGTTGAGCGGAGCCCGAGCCCCATAGCAGCACTCCAGATGACCGTTCCCTCACTGACGCCGGCCAAACTCGCAACATTAATGGCGCAAGAAGCAGACATGATAGCCATCCAGGAGACCTGGAAGTCGTCGGAGCAGATCGCCAGCATGCATACTGGAGAGTGTGTGCTCCACGCACAATCACTTATCCGCAAGGAATGTGTTGCAGCGGTGCTGGTGAGGAAAAACCTCCGCTCCGAGCGTATGCCCCTCATCACTCCTCAACGTGATTCCAGCCTCGACGTGGTGGTGGTCCAATTCGCGCTGGGCCAGAACCGTGATCTTATTGCAGCGAGCACCTATATGAGACCACCGCCGCAACCGACACAACCCCTAGGCGGTTGCTGAGCTGCCTCTCGGTCTCGTCGCCGCTCATTCCGTGTGGAGATTTCAACGTGCGTCGCCCACGGTGGGAGCCCTTCCTGGAGACCCCTCCAAGCAACTCCGCTGTAGAATTTTATACAACCGCGCACGGATGCAGGACGCACCTTGGTTAACACCCCTGGTGAAACAAAGTGTGCTCGTGGTGCAAGAGAGAGATCCTGTATCGACCGGACATGGTCAAGGCATCTTACCGTGTCCGACTGGACAGCCAATGTGCCGCCGCTCAGTGACCACTATGTGTTGACATTCACGCTGCATCAGGCACTTAAGGATACCATGCCCTCGGCACCCGCTTCGGTACGTCGAGTTTTCTGCAGCTGGTGGAAGTCCAAGTGGGAGTCCTTCGCCAACGACCTCGACGCACAACTTCCAGCATGCGACCATAAAAAGCAATCAACCGGTATCAAAGCTTTTACGAGAGCACTTGCAGTTTCACTTCGACGGCATTGACCCCGCGGCATGCACAAGGATGATCCCAAGCTCCGGGGCGACACCCTTGCGAAGGCAGAGCGGATTGCTACCGACAGCAAGGCCCGCTGTCTGCAGTTACCGACGCCCGACCGTGAAACAGAGACGCAACGGGCAAGGAGCCAATTCTTCCTCCTACTCCGTGAGCGCTCGCGCAGCAAATATCGGCGTCGCATCAGCAAGTTAAACCCAGGCAAACCACTCGCCTAAAAAATAAATTCCGGACGTAAAAAGACATCAATTCCGTCTCCCACAACGGCGTTGATGTACGATGGCCGCAAGAATAATTTCAGGACAGCAAGGAGAGCAGCGGATGCGCTCAATCTTGGATTCCTCCCCACCTCGCAAGGCGATTGGGTCTTCCAACGGGAAAAAACGGAGAAAACAAGTCCTTGTGTATTTCTTCTCCCTCCCCTTCTTAGGCCGCAGAACAACAACGAGTCGGCCGCCTCATCTTCGATAGGTTCCTTCTCTCCCCTCTCTCTGGATGCCTCTTTTAATCGTACGGAACTGCGTGCAGCGCTGCGCAGCACACCGTACGGCAAGGCCCCGGACCGGACGAAGTCCACAGCGGGGCGCTACGACATCTTTCGACGAAGTGTCTCCGACTCCCTCTCCGCCGCATCAACCACAGCCGGACAGCCGGCACGATTCCGGTCCAGTGGCGACGAGCCACCATCGTCCCAGTCCTGAAACCCGGTAATTCGCCGGCGCTAACGGAGTCATATCGACCCATCAGCCTTCCTTCCATCGTGGGTAAGGTTGCTGAGAAAATGGCATTGAGGAGACTGCTATGGCTGTGGACGCCTCGTCCGCACCAGCATGCGTGCCGTAGTACGCGTACCACGACGATGCAGCTGGCACGCCTGATACATGAAGTGGAGCATAACAGAACCGACTACTTCCAAGCGAACCTTCCCAAGAAGAGCGGTGTTGGAAGCCAGCTCCACTGCAGACCCCATCGGGCTCCGTTGGTGCTGGTAGACTCCCGCAAGGCCTTTGAGTTCACTGTTCATCGAGTCCTCAGTCGCTTGCCGGCCAATATTCCGGGGGTGAACTGCCGAAGGTGGCTTGGAAAATTTCTGCGTGGCCGCTACGCGAAGACACAAGTTGGCCACAGACACGGCGATCGGTCTTCCACGCTGCGAGGAGCTCCTCAGGGGTCCGTATTGGGAACACATTTTTGTTCTCCCTTTACGCACACCCACTTCTCAACCTGCTGAACGGCTTCCCAGGCGTCACAGCAGACATGCACGCGGACGATCTCTCCATTGTAATCAACGGCCACTCTCGGGAAGACACCATTCCTGCAGCCAACACGGTCCTCAAAAAACTGCACGCGCGGGGCCAGTAAAATGGCCTGGCCATCAACCCGTCAAGGTGCAAAGCCGCTTGGTTCACACTCTCCACGCACACGGAGTCAAACCATGATCGCAAAGGAATGTGGCCCCTGGAAGTGGCTGGATGTAAAATTCCAGTCATGACCATGGGGGCATCGCGAACTGCGAAGCTTCTCGGCATGGATCTCGATCCGCAACTGACGGTAAATATGGCGGCCGCCTCGCAACGGATATCGCAGCCACGCCGCATTGCGCATAAAGAGGCGGGGCCATCCCCACATGACCCACGCACGTTCATCATCGGATACGGCGCATCCAAATTGCGCTACGGCAGCGAGCTCATATGGGCAGTAGCGACGGATTCAGCGAGGAATGAGATGCAAGAGACGTACGCAGGTCTGGCACGCATCGTCAGCGGAGTTCCGAGCACTGTCGACCAGTAATCCGCACCCCTAGAAGCAAATATACCGCCGCTCCACGTCGTCCGCCTGCACGCGGCTCTCCATGTTTGATAACACACGCGCATGTCAGGTGGACTGGGAGCGGAGATCAACGTCTGAGCCTCCGCCTTGCGCAGATTTCCGCATCCCGCCGTTGTCTCGGCACGAGCCATATGCCTTCGTAGACGCATACGCAAAGGGCTACGGCATCACCGAGAGCTCACCACGCGAAGAGCGGTTCTTTCGTGGCTCCATTCCTCCCTGGTTTGCGGCCTCCGCTCACCGGGTCGCCATCGCTGCGAAACTTCCGATAGACCACTCAATCACCGACGAAAAAGAACTGACACAGGAAATGCGCAGAGTCAGCGAAGAGGCTCCAGCGCTGCACAGCCACCGCTCGTGGATACTCGCAGCGGATGGCGATTTCGACGTTCCCACGCCAGCCTGCGTTGGCATACCGCCTTCATCCCTGCATTCCTCGCAGATAATAGGGAAAGTAAGTAACAACTGCGGCACACGCCCTTGAAGCTGCAGGATGGAATCCAGTGCGCTGCTCCTGGCCCTGGAGTGGCTGATTATCCCTCGGATCCACCACAGGCGTAAAAACCCCCGCTTGTGGCGACACAAAGCCAGTCTCTCCTAGCGGCCCTCAACAAGGACCGGATCCGGCAGCGTCTCTTGACACTGATGCGTGCAGGCCGGTCCGTGCACCGGCAGTTTTGTTACGGACATTTTGGAGTGCATGTTGACGAGCCTGCGGCTCAGCATGCGACGCAGACCATGGCAATCGGACAACACACGGAACATGGAATCGCACCCATATGGCACACGGACCCGCTGACATGCTTTGCTACCCAGCCCAGCAACAAGTGGCGTCGTACCATTCGCCAAGACACTCACCGCTACTCGTTCTGTGGTGCCAGGAAGCGGTCTCCGCCACTGCAGGATCAGCCAACCTCAAGGCACGCCAGTTGACACGCAGGAAACCTTTCGCCAACTGCTTCTAGAATGCCCAGGCACCTCCGCCGCGCGCCAACGGCGGGGCATTCAGGAAGATCCACGCAGCAAAAAGTTCTCTCAATGGCAGTCGCTTCATAGCAGGAAGCTTTTTCCGCTGCTCAACCGCCTCCTCGGCACCAGGATGGCATTGTATAGCTAGACGCGCCGGTAAGAGTAGGGAAAAATAATAATGAGCATTCTCGCCACCATCGGGTCGTGGCGCACCTTGCGACCTCGCTGGTGACCCTCCTGCTCCACTGCTGTTTTGCGCAACAAGTCATCACAGTCATTTTCGTGGTTTGGTCGGCCTCGTGTTGCGCTCCGGGTTCTCCTCCTTCATCGTCTTGCGGTGTTTCCTTTGCCGTCCCTGGCACTGTGACTCTCCCGTGACGGTTTTTTCCGAAGCCTCACTTCCCTGGGAGGTCCTCCCGCCACCAGCGTGCCCTCCGCCCAAAGACTCCGGTCCACTTGCACGCATCTGAGCGGCAGAGGCGCTGCCAGTGCCGGACGGATTGCAATTGTTACTTCGCAGTGGGTCGCTGCAGGATTGATCCTGCCTCGTCGGAGCAGTGAGTGGTCCTGCGGGGGTCGGATTGGGGTCCTCACCCGCCGTGTTTTCTCCACCCTCCTCGTCTTCCTGATTGCTGTCAACCTCAGAGTTCACGTTCCCCTTTCGTCCAGAGCCACCGGCCACGGTCCTCCTTCCGCGGCCATCACAGCCCGCGCGTGCTCAGCAGTCACCGCGCCATCACCAGCGGGCCGCACACACACACCGTCGCAGCAGCCGCCAAAAACACGCACGAGCTGTTGCACATCACTGCAGGAGACAACAGGACGCAGAGCCCACGGCCAGTCATCATCATCGCCATCAATCTTGTCACTTGCCTGCAGCCTTCAGCAAAAACTAACTCCCCGTCAACGCATAGTGGAGGATGAAGAAGAGACACGACCGCTACACCACGCACAGCCACAAATGGCAGCAGCCCAGCAGCGGCAGCGCACACACACCATGAGGCAGTTGAAAGCAGTGAAAGGGCAAAAACACACAACGCCCCGCAGCAAGCAAACAGAAAAACACACAAAACAATTAGAAACAAAACACAGGTAAACGAACAGCAATGAAGTTAAAAATGTCAACACACACAAAACAAAGGGCTGCACAGCATGGCTCCAGCACGCACGCACCCATCCTCAAATGTGACTCCACGCAATCAGTTGTGTGCGTGCCATGCACATGAGTGTGTCTGGGGTGCGTTCAACGTGACGGATGCGGGGAGCGGCAAGGAGCACGCAGCAGGGCACCGGAAGCAAGTGAAGCAAAACACAATCATTATTTTATCCTGTTTAACACATCGGACCACAGTGGACGCACACAAGTCCCCACGGTTGGGTGCTGGCACGCACAGCCCGCACACAATTCTTCAGCCCAGAGTGGTGTACGCCAGCGCGGATACGGCGAGCAGCAGCGGGGCACACACCCACGCAGAGCTGCTGAGGCTGCCGTCGCTTTCGCGAAGAAGTGACGGTGCGCGAGTGGTCGTTGTAGTTGGCGCCTCTGTAGTCGTAGTGGTGGTGGCAGTTGGTGCTTTTGTCGTATTCGTGGTTGTTGTTGTTGTTGTTGGCGCATTTTCCTTCTCACTTTGTGCCGATACAGGCGCGGTCACGGAACTTGATGCTGCTGCCGGGCTATTCGACCCACTTGGTTGCTGTTCCTGTATTGGAATGGACTCCGAACTTGTTGTATCTGAACTCCCTGACCCACCGGATCCATCCTGTCCCTGTTCTGTATCAGACACCGGAATTGTTGGACCTGAATTCTCTGGCGTATCAGCCGCCTCACCTGTACTTCTTCCGGTATCGGCTCCCGCACTTGATCCTTGTGATGTGAGGATTTCACCTTGTGTCTGTACAGTACTGGGCTGACTTAGGGGCGCTGTCCCATTGGGTCCTGGAACACCTACTTCCGGTGGCTGAGCAGCCGTTGAACCGTTGGCCCCTTCTTGTTTTTCACCAGTTGCTGTCACGCACACGGACGGGCAGCAGCACAGGGCAAGCACCAACAGGGCGCACAGCAGACGGCACGTCATCATCGTGAGTGTGGTCGTTCGGTGGTGTGGAGCTGATCTGCACAGTGAGGGACATGGAGAGCAACAGGGGAGACGAGAGGTGCGGCAGACACACACAGAGGGCAAACACACATGAGAAGAGGGCAGCGGCCAGGCATGCACCGTACGCCGCACACCACGCACAGCACACACTCCAATCCACGGCAACAGGCACACACACACACAGCCCTGCCGCAGCACCAACACACAGATGGAGGAGGGAGAAGCAAACAGGAGCGGCACACAAGGCTCCACCGCATGTACATACGGCGAGAGCGGTCCGTCGTGTCGGCACCCCTCACGGAGGGCACGCACACACGAGAATAGGTGCAGCGCACACAGCAACACAACGGCAAATTAACCATGAAAAAGAATAGATCCCCGCACACCACGTGGATTGTTGGTCCACGGGAAGCGCAGCCACCACCGCATCAGCAGCAGCACACGCAAAGTCAAGCGCAAGGAATGGAATAAAGCAGCCATTTATTTGTGTTTCTTTTTGGAGGGTGGGAGATGTCTGCATATGTTCTTATTGTTTTTGCGGAGGGTAAACCTTCATGCCTGCATCGTGTGTTGGGGTTCCTGCGGTGTGCACAACTGTTTCCTTCTCTTGTGAATTTTTATTGTGTTGTTGCGGCCAATAATTCAATTTGCGTTGTTCCCGCTTTTCGCTGGTAAAGTGCTGCAATAGATGCTTTTGTTTCCTCCTTCGTTGCTGTGGCACCTGATTCCTCACCGTTTATTGCGGTGGAAATGAGAATATGTGAGTGGACTCCCACGCACCAGAACGCACCTTCGCTCCTATTTATTGCTGCACAGAAGGGCATGTGTGTTTGGTGGTGCCTCGACCATATATTTTGTGGGCGTACATTCCCCTGCAGGCTGAGGGCGGGGCGACGCTCCGTCGCGGTGCACTTCCCTCGCATGCCGCCCACTCTGATTCATCATGCATCACCCCTCACATACTCCGTGGCGCCACACCGCTGGTATTATTGCGGCTGCCGTGATTCCGCATATTTTACGCATTTGATTGCGCCACAATACATCCGCTCGTGTGGCCGCCGCATCCAAACAGCGGTGCCCAACACCGTGAGCGGCAGTCCGCATCCCTGCATGTCCCAGCGCAGTGGTGCTTGACTGTCAGCCAGGCGCCAGACAACACGAGAGTATTGTGCTGGCAGTACAGCACACGGAGCTGCAGCGAATGGCTCGGGCGGCGACGCGTCTATTTGCCGCAAGGCAGTGAAAAGGAGTCGGGCAAAATAATGCCGGCTGCATTCACGACACCATACCCACAGCCAAAGCATGCGACGTGATGTGCGTTTCACTGGTGCTGTGAAATGCCTGCAGACGACGTCACTAGTGGAGGCACACCACCCATGATCAGCGGACAGACAATAATCGGCATGGGAGGCCACAAAAGGCAGCAACGACGTCAGCAGCAGGAGCAGCTCTCTCTCTCTCTCTCTCTGTTGCCTCCGAGAAGCAATTATTCCACCAGCCACAGCCGGCTGTGCCATCGTGACACTCCATGCACGTCGTGGCTGCGTCAACACATCCTGCTCCCTGCAGCGCCTCAAAAGATGCCTCACTCCGTCCACTAAGTGCATCGATGCGGGCCGTGCCCGGGCTGTTCGTGAGGACCACAGCGATGTGAGGGTCACCGAGTCGCAGCATGTTTGTTGTGACGTTGTTGCATGGCACCTGCACACACACACGCAGCGCCTGCATCCTCCCCTTTTGTGTCCGCCGTCCGCCGGAGTGGCCACACACACGGGCAGCAGCAAATTCATTTCACCCTCGACGATCCAAAATCAACACCGACATCCCTCGCCACGCAAAGATCTCAGTTGCCAGCACGGGCCTCCTGCCGCTCTGCCATCGACGCCGAAACACGGCACAGTGCACGCACTTATTTTCCTCGTGTTCCGTCAGCCGTTTGCTTCACACATTCTCCGACGGGCTGACACCCACAAAAGCACGCCACAAAAGCCACTGTGACCACACAAGCTCTTGCGATGAGCGTCTGCGTGTGTGCATGGATCCGCTGCTCACACGTGCTGGCAGGCAGCCTGCAGCCGGTGCCCTCGTGCCAGTTCATCGGCTCCAGCATGGGAAAGAGAAAATGGCCAATTCCTAGCGCACTTATTCCCACCAGCAGCACCAACACGCTGGTCGCCAGCCGTCATTCCTCAGCACATCCAGAAATGCTGAAAAGTGACGTGGAACTGTCAGCCAGCAACGCCACAATCCCCGCACACATGTCGGCTCCACCAGAGAAGACACACAAACTACACACAACACCCCTCACATGTTTTCCGAACATCATTCCAACACACCGCGACACGCCAAACAGAAGTATTCGTCACTCCATGCACCTCCCCACACAATCAAATAGTCCATGCACCACGCACGGCAGCAGCTCACACCCGTCTAAACAAGTGTTCCTCGTACCAGTGTTGTCCGCGTGCTGCAGTGGGCTGCCCCGGCTGAGGCGAGCTACTGTCGGAAATATTGTTTGCGATCACTCACCCCAACGCGGCTGCGCAACCAGTGTTGGGCTCGACAGCACAGGCGCGGGAGCCCGCAGACCACAGCCAGCACTCGCCCATCGTCAACGGTGCCGAACGCAGTCGAGATGCCGGTCGGGACTGCGAGAGAGCGGCGACGGTGAGGGTGCAGCGCGGGACGCCGCCCCTGCGACGCCCACACTCCACGGCGATGCGCTCGTTCGGCCCTCGTGCCGTTTTGTCACGGACAGGCGTCACCACGTCGGAGACCGTGCGTCGTGGCGTTAATCGAGGCTGACGGCGGTGGCGTGCCAGCAGCGCTGACAGGCGGCGGTGGACCAGTCCCTCGCTCACCCCTAGCAGGACAGAGAGCAGCGGGAGGGGCCGACAACTCTCCGTGCGGCATGCGTTCTTCCCGTGTCTGCGGATGCGAGTAGTGTCCCCCGTTTCCCGGGAACTTCGCAGGCTGCCGTCAGCAAGGGAGGTGCCACTCATCGTTCTGAGCGAGCAGCGGGCTGCGGGTACAAGATGGCGCAGCAACGCATTCAATACACCGCCGGGGCCAGGGGCCAAGACAAGCGAAGAGTCGCGAAAGGACAATTCAAGCGCATACAGCGCGAAGGGCCAAACCACATCCCGGTCACCAGGGGGCACGCAAGCACGAAGTGTGCAGACGGCAGTGGGGATCGCAGCAAGTGGGATTCAGACGATGCGACGGACGAGCGGGTTTCACTGCTGCCGGATTTCGTCGGCGCTTACCAGCGCTACACGTGTCGTCTGCGTGCCGTATGTGACGCACAGAGGCAAAAGCTACTGCGAGGCGGAGACGTTGAGCGGAGCCCGAGCCCCATAGCAGCACTCCAGATGACCGTTCCCTCACTGACGCCGGCCAAACTCGCAACATTAATGGCGCAAGGAGCAGACATGATAGCCATCCGGGAGACCTGGAAGTCGTCGGAGCAGATCGCCAGCATGCATACTGGAGAGTATGTGCCCCACGCACAATCACGTATCCGCAAGGAATTTGTTGCAGCGGTGCTGGTGCGGAAAAACCTCCGCTCCAAGCGTATGCCCCTCATCACTCCTCAACGTGATTCCAGCCTCGAAGTGGTGGTCCAATTCGCGCTGGGCCAGAACCGTGATCTTATTGTAGCGAGCACCTATATGAGACCACCGCCGCAACCGACACAACCCCTAGGCGGTTGCTGAGCTGCCTCTCGGTCTCGTCGCCGCTCATTCCGTGTGGAGATTTCAGCGTGCGTCGCCCACGGTGGGAGCCCTTCCTCGAGACCCCTCCAAGCAACTCCGCTGTAGAATTTTATACAACCGCGCACGGATGCAGGACACACCTTGGTTAACACCCCTGGTGAAACAAAGCATGCTCGTGGTGCAAGAGAGAGATCCTGTATCGACCGGACATGGTCAAGGCATCTTACCGTGTCCGACTGGACAGCCAATGTGCCGCCGCTCAGTGACCACTATGTGTTGACATTCACGCTGCATCAGGCATTTAAGGATACCATGCCCTCGGCACCCACTTCGGTACGTCGAGTTTTCTACAGCTGGTGGAAGTCCAAGTGGGAGTCCTTCGCCAACGACCTCGACGCACAACTTCCAGCATGCGACCATAAAAAGCAATCAACCGGCATTAAAGCTTTTACGAGAGCACTTGCAGTTTCACTTCGACGGCATTGACCCCGCGGCATGCACAAGGATGATCCCAAGCTCCGGGGCGACACCCTTGCGAAGGCAGAGCGGATTGCTACCGACAGCAAGGCCCGCTGTCTGCAGTTACCGACGCCCGACCGTGAAACAGAGACGCAACGGGCAAGGAGCCAATTCCTCCTCCTACTCCGTGAGCGTCCGCGCAGCAAATATCGGCGTCGCATCAGCAAGTTAAACCCAGGCAAACCACTCGCCTAAAAAATAAATTCCGGACGTAAAAAGACATCAATTCCGTCTCCCACAACGGCGTTGATGTGCGATGGCCGCAAGAGTAATTTCAGGACAGCAAGGAGAGCAGCGGATGCGCTCAATCTTGGATTCCTCCCCACCTCGCAAGGCGATTGGGTCTTCCAACGGGAAAAAACGGAGAAAACAAGTCCTTGTGTATTTCTTCTCCCTCCCCTTCTTAGGCCGCAGAACAACAACGAGTCGGCCGCCTCATCTTCGATAGGTTCCTTCTCTCCCCTCTCTCTGGATGCCTCTTTTAATCGTACGGAACTGCGTGCAGCGCTGCGCAGCACACCGTACGGCAAGGCCCCGGACCGGACGAAGTCCACAGCGGGGCGCTACCACACCTTTCGACGAAGTGTCTCCGACTCCCTCTTCGCCGCATCAACCACAGCCGGACAGCCGGCACGATTCCGGTCCAGTGGCGACGAGCCACCATCGTCCCAGTCCTGAAACCCGGTAATTCGCCGGCGCTAACGGAGTCATATCGACCCATCAGCCTTCCTTCCATCGTGGGTAAGGCTGCTGAGAAAATGGCATTGAGGAGACTGCTATGGCTGTGGACGCCTCGTCCGCACCAGCATGCGTGCCGTAGTACGCGTACCACGACGATGCAGCTGGCACATCTGATACACGAAGTGGAGCATAACAGAACCGATTACTTCCAAGCGAACCTTCCCAAGAAGAGCGGTGCTGGAAGCCAGCTCCACTGCAGACCCCATCGGGCTCCGTTGGTGCTGGTAGACTCCAGCAAGGCCTTTGAGTTCATTGTTCATCGAGTCCTCAGTCGCTTGCCGGCCAATATTCCGGGGTGAACTGCCGAAGGTGGCTTGGAAAATTTCTGCGTGGCCGCTGCGCGAAGACACGAGTTGGCCACAGACACGGCGATCGGTCTTCCACGCTGCGAGGAGCTCCTCAGGGGTCCGTATTGGGAACACATTTTTGCTCTCCCTTTACGCACACCCACTTCTCAACCTGCTGAACGGCTTCCCAGGCGTCACAGCAGACATGCACGCGGACGACCTCTCCATTGTAATCAACGGCCACTCTCGGGAAGACACCATTCCCGCAGCCAACACGGTCCTCAAAAAACTGCACGCGCGGGGTCAGTAAAGTGGCCTGGCCATCATCCCGTCAAAGTGCAAAGCCGCTTGGTTCACACTCTCCACGCACACGGAGTCAAACTATGATCGCAAGGGAAAGCGGCCGCTGGAAGTGGCTGGATGTAAAATTCCAGTCATGACCATGGGGGCATCGCGAACTGCGAAGCTTCTCGGCATGGATCTCGATCCGCAACTGACGCTAAATGTGGCGGCCGCCTCGCAACGGATATCGCAGCCACGCAGCATTGCGCATAAAGAGGCGGGGCCATCTCCACATGACCCACGCACGTTCATCATCGGATACGGCGCATCCAAATTGCGCTACGGCAGCGAGCTCATATGGGCAGTAGCGACGGATTCAGCGAAGAATGAGATGCAAGAGACGTACGCAGGTCTGGCACGCATCGTCAGCGGAGTTCCGAGCACTGTCGACCCGGAATCCGCACCCCTAGAAGCAAATATACCGCCGCTCCACGTCGTCCGCCTGCACGCGGCTCTCCATGTTTGATAACACACGCAATTGTCAGACGGACTGGGAGCGGAGATCAACTTCTGAGCCTTCGCCTCGCGCTGGTTTCCGCATCCCGCCGTTGTCTCGGCACGAGCTATATGCCTTTGTAGACGCATGCGCAAAGGGCTACGGCATCACCGAGAGCTCACCACGCGAAGAGCGGTTCTTTCGCAGCTCCATTCCTCCCTGGTCTGCGGCCTCCGCTCACCGGGTCACCATCGGTGTGGAACTTCCGATAGACCACTCAATCACCGACGACAAAGAGCTGATACGGGAAAAGCGCAGAGTCAGCGAAGAGGCTCCAGCGCTGCACAGCCACCGCTCGTGGATACTCGCAACGGATGGCGATTTCGACGTTCCCGCGCCAGCCTGCGTTGGCATACCGCCTTCATCCCTGCATTCCTCGCAGATAATAGAGAAAGTAAGTAACAACTGCGGCACACGCCCTTGAAGCTGCAGGACGGAATCCAGTGCGCTGCTCCTGGCCCTGGAGTGGCTGATTATCCCTCGGATCCACCACAGACGTAAAAACCCCGCTTGTGGCGACACAAAGCCAGGCTCTCCTAGCGGCCCTCAACAAGGACCGGATCTGGCAGCGTCTCTTGACACTGATGCGTGCCGGCCGGTCCGTGCACCGGCAGTTTTGTTACGGACATTGTGGAGTGCATGCTAATGAGCCTGCGGCTCAGCATGCGACGCAGACCATGGCAATCGGACAACACACGGAACATGGAATCGCACCCATATGGCACACGGACCCGCTGACATGCTTTGCTACCCAGCCCAGCAACAAGTGGCGTCGTACCATTCGCCAAGACACTCACCGCTACTCGTTCTGTGGTGCCAGGAAGCGGTCTCCGCCACTGCAGGATCAGCCAACCTCAAGGCACGCCAGTTGACACGCAGGAAACCTTTCGCCAACTGCTTCTAGAATGCCCAGGCACCTCCGCCGCGCGCCAACGGCGGGGCATTCAGGAAGATCCACGCAGCAAAAAGTTCTCTCAATGGCAGTCGCTTCATAGCAGGAAGCTTTTTCCGCTGCTCAACCGCCTCCTCGGCACCAGGATGGCATTGTATAGCTAGACGCGCCGGTAAGAGTAGGGGAAAAATAATAATGAGCATTCTCGCCACCATCGGGTCGTGGCGCACCTTGCGACCTCGCTGGTGACCCTCCTGCTCCACTGCTGTTTTGCGCAACAAGTCATCACAGTCATTTTCGTGGTTTGGTCGGCCTCGTGTTGCGCTCCGGGTTCTCCTCCTTCATCGTCTTGCGGTGTTTCCTTTGCCGTCCCTGGCACTGTGACTCTCCCGTGACGGTTTTTTCCGAAGCCTCACTTCCCTGGGAGGTCCTCCCGCCACCAGCGTGCCCTCCGCCCAAAGACTCCGGTCCACTTGCACGCATCTGAGCGGCAGAGGCGCTGCCAGTGCCGGACGGATTGCAATTGTTACTTCGCAGTGGGTCGCTGCAGGATTGATCCTGCCTCGTCGGAGCAGTGAGTGGTCCTGCGGGGGTCGGATTGGGGTCCTCACCCGCCGTGTTTTCTCCACCCTCCTCGTCTTCCTGATTGCTGTCAACCTCAGAGTTCACGTTCCCCTTTCGTCCAGAGCCACCGGCCACGGTCCTCCTTCCGCGGCCATCACAGCCCGCGCGTGCTCAGCAGTCACCGCGCCATCACCAGCGGGCCGCACACACACACCGTCGCAGCAGCCGCCAAAAACACGCACGAGCTGTTGCACATCACTGCAGGAGACAACAGGACGCAGAGCCCACGGCCAGTCATCATCATCGCCATCAATCTTGTCACTTGCCTGCAGCCTTCAGCAAAAACTAACTCCCCGTCAACGCAGAGCGGAAGCAAAAGGAGAGACACGGCCGCTACACCACGCACAGCCACCGCACAGTCACAAATGGCAGCAGCCCAGCAGCCGCAGCGCACACACACCATGAGGCAGTTGAAAGCAGTGAAAGGGCAAAGACACACAACGCCCCGCAGCAAGCAAACAGAAAAACACACAAAACAATTAGAAACAAAACACAGGTAAACGAACAGCAATGAAGTTAAAATGTAAAAACACAAAACAAAGGGCTGCACAGTATGGCTCCAGCGCGCACGCACCCATCCTCAAATGCGACTCCACGCAATCAGTTGTGTGCGTGCCATGCACATGAGTGTGTCTGGGGTGCGTTCAACGTGACGGATGCGGGGAGCGGCAAGGAGCACACAGCAGGGCAGCGGAAGCAAGTGAAGCAAAACACAATCATTATTTTATCCTGTTTAGCACATCGGACCACAGTGGACGCACACAAGTCCCCACGGTTGGGTGCTGGCACGCACAGCCCGCACACAATTCTTCAGCCCAGAGTGGTGTACGCCAGCGCAGCCAGAGCGAGCAGCAGCGGGGCACACACCCACGCAGAGCTGCTGAGGCTGCCGTCGCTTTCGCGAAGAAGTGACGGTGCGCGGGTGGTCGTTGTAGTTGGCGCCTCCGTAGTCGTAGTGGTGGTGGTAGTTGGTGCTTTTGTCGTAGTCGTGGTTGTTGTTGTTGGCGCATTTTCCTTCTGACTTTGTGCCAATACCGTACCGGTCACGGAACTTGATGCTGCAGCTGGGTTAGCGGACCCACCTGACGACCCTGACCCATCGGACTCACCTGGTCCCTGTTTTGGAATAGTCTCTGGACCTTCGGTATTTGAACTCCCCGGCACATCGGTTCCCTCACTTGATCCTTGTGATGTGGGTTTCACAATTTGTGTCTTCCCATTACTGGGCTGACTTGAGGGCCCTTTCCCACCAGTCGCCCCACTTGGTGCCCGTTCCTGTACCTTTTTGGTCGATTCTGCTGAACCTGACGTACTGGACTCCCTAATTTGTTCCTGTCCATTACGGTTCGCCGAATCTCCTGCCCCTTGCGAACTGGGCGTACCATGTGGCTGTTTCGCACTGTTCCCCGTAAACCCTGGCGTACCGGTCACTCCATCTGTACCTCTTCCGGTAACAATCCTCGTGACTGATGCTTCTCCCGTACCGTCCTGATTTTCGGGTCCCGGTAACGCAACGGTCGGAGGTGTTAAACTTGACGCCCTGGAAGTATTTGCTTGCCCTGAAACACCTGCTCCCTCTGACTGAGCAGGCGATAAACCGGGGCCACCCTTATTTGGATCTCCAGCAGTCGCTGTCACGCACGCGGACGGGCAGCAGCACAGGGCAAGCACCAACAGGGCGCACAGCAGACGGCACGTCATCATCGTGAGTGTGGTCGTTCAGTGGTGTGGAGCTGATCTGCACAGTGAGGGACATGGAGAGCAACAGGGGAGACGAGAGGTGCGGCAGACACACACAGAGGGCAAACACACATGAGGAGAGTGCAGCGGCCAGGCATGCACCGTACGCCGCACACCACGCAGCACACACTCCAATCCACGGCACACACACACAGCCCTGCCGCAACACCAACACACAGATGGAGGAGGGAGAAGCAAACAGGAGCGGCACACAAGGCTCCACCGCATGCACATACGGCGAGAGCGGTCCGTCGTGTCTGCACCCCTCACGGAGGGCACGCACACACGAGAATAGGTGCAGCGCACACAGCAACACAAAAGCAAAGTAACCATGAAAAAGAATAGATCCCCGCACACCACGTGGGTTGTTGGTCCACGGGAAGCGCAGCCACCACCGCAGCAGCAGCAGCAGCAGCACACGCAAAGTCAAGCGCAAGGAATGGAATAAAGCAGCCATTTATTTGTGTTTCTTTCTGGAGGGTGGAAGATGTCTGCATATGTTGTTATTGTTTTTGCGGAGGGTAAACCTTCATGCCTGCATCGTGTGTTGGGGTTCCTGCAGTGTGCACAACTGTTTCCTTCTCTTGTGAATTTTTATTGTGTTGGTGCAGCCAATAATTCAATTTGCGTTGTTCCTGCTTTTCGCTGGTAAAAGTGCTGCAATAGATGTTTTTATTTCCTCCTTCGTTGCTGTGGCACCTGATTCCTCGCCGTTTATTGCGGTGGAAATGGGAATACGTGAGTGGACTCCCACGCACCAGAACGCACCTTCGCTCCTATTTATTGCTGCACAGAAGGGCATGTGTGTTTGGTGGTGCCTCGACCATATATTTTGTGGGCGTACATTCCCCTGCAGGCTGAGGGCGGGGCGACGCTCCGTCGCGGTGCACTTCCCTCGCATGCCGCCCACTCTGATTCATCATGCATCGCCCCTCACATACTCCGTGGTGCCACACCGTTGGTATTATTGCAGCCGCTGTGATTACGCGTATTTTACGCATTTGATTGTGCCACAATACATCCGCTCGTGTGGCCGCCGCATCCAAACAGCGGTGCCCAACACCGTGAGCGGCAGTCCACATCCTTGCATGCCCCAGCGCAGTGGTGCTTGGACTGTCAGCCAGGCGCCAGACAACACGAGAGTATTGTGCCGGCAGTACAACACACGGAGCTGCAGCGAATGACTCGGGCGGCGACGCATCTATTTGTCGCAAGGCAGTGAAAAGGAGTCGGGCAAAATAATGCCGGCTGCATTCACGACACCATACCCACAGCCAAAGCATGCGACGTGATGTGCGTTTCGCTGGTGCTGTGGAATGCCTGCAGACGACGTCACTAGTGGAGGCACACCACCCATGATCAGCGGACAGACAATAATCGGCATGGGAGGCCACAAAAGGCAGCAACGACGTCAGCAGCAGCAGCTCTCTCTCTCTCTCTGTTGCCTCCGAGAAGTAAATATTCCACCAGCCACAGCCGGCTGTGCCATCGTGACACTCCATGCACGTCGTGGCTGCGTCAACACATCCTGCTCCCTGCAGCGCCTCAAAAGATGCCTCACTCCGTCCACTAAGTGCATCGATGCGGGCCGTGCCTGGGCTGCTCGTGAGGACCACAGCAATGTGAGGGTCACCGAGTCGCAGCATGTTTGTTGTGACGTTGTTGCATGGCACCTGCACACACACACGCAGCGCCTGCATCCCTCCCTTTTGTGTTCGCCCTCCGCCGGAGTGGCCACACACACGGGCAGCAGCAAATTCATTTCACCCTCGACGATCCAAAATCAACACCGACATCCCTCGCCACACAAAGATCTCAGTTGCCAGCACGGGCCTCCTGCCGCTCTGCCATCGACGCCGAAACACGGCACAGTGCACGCACTTATTTTCCTCGTGTGCAGTCAGCCGTTTGCTTCACACATTCTCCGACGGGCTGACGCCCACAAAAGCCACTGTGACCACACAGGCTCTTGCGATGAGCGTCTGTGTGTGCATGGATCCGCTGCTCACACGTGCTGGCAGGCAGCCTGCAGCCGGTGCCCTCGTGCCAGTTCATCGGCTCCAGCATGGGAAAGAGAAAATGGCCAATTCCTCGTGCACTTATTCCCACCAGCAGCACCAACACGCTGGTCGCCAGCCGTCATTCCTCAGCACATCCAGGAATGCCGAAAAGTGACGTGGAACCGTCAGCCAGCAACACCACAATCCCGCACACATGTCGGCTCCACCAGAGAAGACACACAAACTACACACAACACCCCTCACATGTTTTCCGAACATCATTCCAACACACCGCGACACGCAAACAGAAGTATTCGTCACTCCATGCACCTCCCCACACAATCAAATAGTCCATGCACCACGCACGGCAGCAGCTCACACCCGTCAAACAAGTGTTCCTCGGACCAGTGTTGTCCACGTGCCGCGGTGGGAAGTAAACAAAAGAGACGGGCCGCCAAACCCCAAAAGAGTGCAACGACCGGCCGCAAGTCAACGGAACGCAGCCACTCAAAACAATTCAGTCCTAATGCCCTCAGCCTCCCACCTTCTCCCACAAAAGCCCCAAGAGACGCCAATCAGGCGCGCCGTCCAACAAAGTCGCTGTACAACACCAGAAGGAATCGCAGTGCCTCCTGCTGCCATCCGGGTCCGTTGTGGACGCCATGATGAGTAGAAACGCCCATTGGTGCTTCGAAACGACGCTGCACACCTGCGACGCATCATACGGTTTGAGACGCACGTGCCTCACCAGCACCACAGACGCCCACGCGCCGTCGGTACGCCCTACATCGTCAAGGAAGCAAAGGATACGTCAGGGTGGCAGCAAAGCACTCGCTGGCAATTCCCGTCGCAGGCATCATCACAAGCAGCTCCAGCAGCGCTGCAGACCGTGGGGTGACGTGGATCAACTGACGCATGGCGTATGTGGAAAAGAAAGGACGTGGTGGCTTTACAAGGATACGAATGGCTGACACTTTTAGAAGGAGAAAGAAAACAATGTGAGAACACACAAAGAGGAATCAGGCGTCCGCAGTCAAAGCAAACCAGCAATCAAAAAAAGTAAGATGGGTGCACTCAACCACAACACAGGCAGAGGATAAAAAATACCAACAACAAAAAGCCGAAGCGTGGGGGCGTCCACCCAGCAGTGGGGACGCGCAGCAACAGGTGCGACGACCAGCGCACACACTCTCATTGCTTCCGTAAAGCAAAACACACACACAGAGGGAGAGAGAGAGAGGTCGCCCAATCAATGCAATAAAAACAAAACAGAAACAGTTACGGTGCTCCGCCCATGCAGCCAGGCAGGACGGCAGCGGTGCGTGTCGTGCAAAAGAGAGCACCAACGGGCCTGCATGGGTGTGCATGCATATACACAATGGGCACATTATTGTGTGTGCCTCGTGGGGTGAGGTGAGGGTGAGAGTCCATGCAAGGGGACATACACACAGAGAGAGAAGGACGAGAGTGTGTGCGGGCGGTGCACGGCTCTCTCTCCCTCACTCTCACGCGGCCACCACCGCAGCCGCAGCCGCACACGCAACAAGAGGAAGCAAAAGAGGGGAGGTGGTGTGGGAGACCGCGGTGCTGCCGTCACTGCTGCCAGGCGTAGCCGTACCATTTGCTGGAGCGGTAGCTGCTGCTTTCGCTGTACGTGGTTTTGTCTTACTGGCCGTGGGCGCAACGTTGGTATGACTGGCTTCGGGGTCGTTGTGTGGCGTTCCGGGGTTGGGCCCTTTGCTGTTGTCGTCATTCTCATCCGCCCTACTCCGGCCATCACCACTGCCACTTGTAGAGATGGATGATGCCGTTACTTCCGCCGGGCTGCCGGTAGGTCCACCCCTCAGATCCGGTAAAACAGTGCCTTGACCCTGTTGTTCTGCCACACCATCTCCAGAAGTAGGTTCTGTCTCTTCAGGCTCCTTTTTGTTTGGTGACGGTGACGTTTTTGTCCTTTCTTCTGTCAAGGTTTGCGAGTCTGTTTGTGCCGTTGGGCTTCCTCCTGCCGGAACTGCCACCGCTGTTGGTCGTTCTTCTCCTACCGTTGCTGGTGCTGGCGGTGGACATCACGGCGGAAGGGCCTTGTGCCTCCGCATTACTCCGCCGTTTCTCGTCTCCAGTTGCAGCCCTACCAGCAGCTTCACTTTCTGGTTTTTCTTGTCTACTGGGAGAGTCTTCTTGTGCTTCGGGTGTTGACTCCGCTGGTGCCGACAATTCGGGCAATTCGTTCCGTGCACGATTTGCTTCTGACTGCTCACCTGCTTCTTGAGGTTTCCCTCCCTTTGTGGATGCCGCAGCGCCGGTCTTCTCCAACGCATCACTCTCGTCGGTGATGGAGGGTGGGGACTTACCACCAGCAACAGGAGTGCTCAAAGATGCATCACCACCTGGACTGCCAACATCAGGTTGACTGCGACCACCAGAAGAAAAGGAGCCCAAAATGAAACATTTGCTTCCGTCAGAACCTACACTTCCCGTAGGAGCCCCAGGAGAACTGCCACCATCACCGAGAACAGGAGATGGGGACTTGACATCCGAAGCAGGGGACTTCAAAGAGCCACCAACACGTGCTTTAGAACCTCCATTTGAGCCACCACCACCGCCAACAGAAGCTTTGCCGCCACGAGCTTGACTGCCACTGGCACCTCCAACACCAGCAGGACCGCCAGCACCGTCGTCTCTACCGCCTCCACCTCCACCTCCGCGACCAGGAGGAGAACCGGCACCACCGAAATCAGCACCTGAACTTGGAGCCAAATCCGATTTATTTTCGGCTGCACCAGTCACCAATGGGTCAGTCGAAGCTGCAACGGCAGTGATGGACAAGACCGATCGTAAAGGCAGCGTCAGCGCCGTTTTGTCACATCCGCTCGGCGCATACGATTTATTCGTATTCAACACCCACGACACCATGCAGGCGCCAACTGCGTTGTTCTCGAGATTACTCGCATCAGCCCCGCCGGCACCGCACCACAGCACGCAGAGGGCACACACCAGCAGCACACGGCCAGCCATCATCATCGCCATCACTCCTGTCACTTGCCTGCAGCCTTCAGCACAAACTAACTCCCCGTCAACGCAGAGCGGAAGCAAAAGGAGAGACACGGCCGCTACACCACGCACAGCCACCGCACAGTCACAAATGGCAGCAGCCCAGCAGCGGCAGCGCACACACACCATGAGGCAGTTGAAAGCAGTGAAAGGGCAAAAACACACAACGCCCCGCAGCAAGCAAACAGAAAAACACACAAAACAATTAGAAACAAAACACAGGTAAACGAACAGCAATGAAGTTAAAAATGTAAACACACAAAACAAAGGGCTGCACAGCATGGCTCCAGCGCGCACGCACCCATCCTCAAATGTGACTCCACGCAATCAGTTGTGTGCGTGCCATGCACATGAGTGTGTCTGGGGTGCGTTCAACGTGACGGATGCGGGGAGCGGCAAGGAGCACACAGCAGGGCAGCGGAAGCAAGTGAAGCAAAACACAATCATTATTTTATCCTGTTTAGCACATCGGACCACAGTGGACGCACACAAGTCCCCGCGGTTGAGTGCTGGCACGCACAGCCCGCACACAATTCTTCAGCCCAGAGTGGTGTACGCCAGCGCGGATACGGCGAGCAGCAGCGGGGCACACACCCACGCAGAGCTGCTGAGGCTGCCGTCGCTTTCGCGAAGAAGTGACGGTGCGCGAGTGGTGGTTGTAGTTGGCGCCTCCGTAGTCGTAGTGGTGGTGGTAGTTGGTGCTTTTGTCGTAGTCGTGGTTGTTGTTGTTGGCGCATTTTCCTTCTGACTTTGTGCCAATACCGTACCGGTCACGGAACTTGACGATTTATTTGAGTTAGCGGACCCACCAGACGACCCTGACGCATCGGTGCGCGGACCTTGTTCTTCTTTTGGAATAGGCCCCGGACTTTCTGCATCTGAACTCCCTGCCGGAGCGGGTTGCTGACTGTCCTGATTTCCGGGTTTCGGTAACGCAACGTCCGGAGCTGTTGAACTTGGCCCCGTGGAAGTATTTGATTGCCCTGCACCACCTGCTCCCGGTGACAGAGCAGTTGGTGAACCGTTGGCCCCTTTTTGTTCTCCGCTACCCTCCGTCGCTGTCACGCACACGGACGGGCAGCAGCACAGGGCAAGCACCAACAGGGCGCACAGCAGACGGCACGTCATCATCGTGAGTGTGGTCGTTCAGTGGTGTGGAGCTGATCTGCACAGTGAGGGACATGGAGAGCAACAGGAGAGACGAGAGGTGCGGCAGACACACACAGAGGGCAAACACACACATGAGGAGAGGGCAGCGGCCAGGCATGCACCGTACGCCGCACACCACGCACGACACACACTCCAATCCACGGCAGCGGGCACACACACACACACAGCCCTGCCGCAACACCAACACACAGATGGAGGAGGGAGAAGCAAACAGGAGCGGCACACAAGGCTCCACCGCATGTACATACGGCGAGAGCGGTCCGTCGTGTCGGCACCCCTCACGGAGGGCACGCACACACGAGAATAGGTGCAGCGCACACAGCAACACAAAAGCAAAGTAGCCATGAAAAAGAATAGATCCCCGCACACCACGTGGATTGTTGGTCCACGGGAAGCGCAGCCACCACCGCATCAGCAGCAGCACACGCAAAGTCAAGCGCAAGGAATGGAATAAAGCAGCCATTTATTTTTGTTTCTTTTTGGAGGGTGGAAGATGCCTGCATATGTTGTTATTGTTTTTGCGGAGGGTAAACCTTCATGCCTGCATCGTGTGTTGGGGTTCCCGCAGTGCGCACAACTGTTTCCTTCTCTTGTGAATTTTTATTGTGTTGGTGCAGCCAATAATTCAATTTGTGTTGTTCCTGCTTTTCGCTGGTAAAGTGCTGCAATAGATGTTTTTATTTCCTCCTTCGTTGCTGTGGCACCTGATTCCTCGCCGTTTATTGCGGTGGAAATGGGAATATGTGAGTGGACTCCCACGCACCAGAACGCACCTTCGCTCCTATTTATTGCTGCACAGAAGGGCATGCGTGTTTGGTGGTGCCTCGACCATATATTTTGTGGGCGTACATTCCCCTGCAGGCTGAGGGGGGGGGGCGACGCTCCGTCGCGGTGCACTTCCCTCGCATGCCGCCCACTCTGATTCATCATGCATCACCCCTCACACATTCCGTGGTGCCACACCGTCGATATTATTGCAGCCGCTGTGATTCCGCGTATTTTACGCATTTGATTGTGCCACAATACATCCGCTCGTGTGGCCGCCGCATCCAAACAGCGGTGCCCAACACCGTGAGCGGCAGTCCGCATCCCTGCATGTCCCAGCGCAGTGGTGCTTGACTGTCAGCCAGGCGCCAGACAACACGAGAGTATTGTGCCGGCAGCACAACACACGGAGCTGCAGTGAATGACTCGGGCGGCGACGCATCTATTTATCGCAAGGCAGTGAAAAGGAGTCGGGCAAAATAATGCCGGCTGCATTCACGACACCACATCCACAGCCAAAGCATGCGACATGATGTGTGTTTCGCTGGTGCTGTGGAATGCCTGCAGACGACGTCACTAGTGGAGGCACACCACCCATGATCAGCGGACAGACGATAATCGGCATGGGAGGCCAGAAAAGGCAGCAACGACGTCAGCAGCAGCAGCTCTCTCTCTCTCTCTGTTGCCTCCGAGAAGCAAATATTCCACCAGCCACAGCCGGCTGTGCCATCGTGACACTCCATGCACGTCGTGGCTGCGTCAACACATCCTGCTCCCTGCAGCGCCTCAAAAGATGCCTCACTCCTTCCACTAAGTGCATCGATGCGGGCCGTGCCTGGGCTGCTCGTGAGGACCACAGCAATGTGAGGGTCACCGAGTCGCAGCATGTTTGTTGTGACGTTGTTGCATGGCACCTGCACACACACACGCAGCGCCTGCATCCCTCCCTTTTGTGTTCGCTCTCTGCCGGAGTGGCCACACACACGGGCAGCAGCAAATTCATTTCACCCTCGACGATCCAAAATCAACACCGACATCCCTCGCCACGCAAAGATCTCAGTTGCCAGCACGGGCCTCCTGCCGCGCTGCCATCGACGCCGAAACACGGCACAGTGCACGCACTTATTTTCCTCGCGTGCAGTCAGCCGTTTGCTTCACACATTCTCCGACGGGCTGACGCCCACAAAAGCACGCCACAAAAGCCACTGTGATCGCACAAGCTCTTGCGATGAGCGTCTGTGTGTGCATGGATCCGCTGCTCACACGTGCTGGCAGGCAGCCTGCAGCCGGTGCCCTCGTGCCAGTTCATCGGCTCCAGCACGGAAAGAGAAAACGGCCTATTCCCGATGCACTTATTCCCACCAGTAGCACCAACACGCTGGTCGCCAGCCGTCATTCCTCAGCACATCCAGGAATGCCGAAAAGTGGCGTGGAGCTGTCAGCCAGCAATGCCACAATCCCCGCACACATGTCGGCTCCACCAGAGAAGACACACAAACTGCACACAACACCCCTCACATGTTCTCCGAACATCATTCCAACACACCGCGACACGCCAAACAGAAGTATTCGTCACTCCATGCACCTCCCCACACAATCAAATAGTCCATGCACCACGCACGGCAGCAGCTCACACCCGTAAAAGAAGTGTTCCTCGTACCAGTGTTGTCCACGTGCTGCAGTGGGCTGCCCCGGCTGAGGCGAGCTACTGTCGGAAATATTGTTTGCGATCACTCACCCCAACGCGGCCGCCTCCCAGGTGGCTGCGCAACCAGTGTTGGGCTCGACAGCACAGGCGCGGGAGGTCGCCGAGTTCGGCCAGCAATCGCCCATCGTCAACGGTGTCGAACGCAGTCGAGATGCCGGTCGGGACTGCGAGAGAGCGGCGACGGTGAGGGTGCAGCGCGGGACGCCGCCCCTGCGACGCCCACACTCCACGGCGATGCGCTCGCTCGGCCCTCGTGCCGTTTCGTCACGGACAGGCGTCACCACGTCGGAGACCGTGCGTCGTGGCGTTAATCGAGGCTGACGTCGGTGGCGTGCCAGCAGCGCTGACAGGCGGCGGTGGACCAGTCCTTCGCTCACCCCTAGTAGGACAGAGAGCAGCGGGAGGGGCCGACAACTCTCCGTGCGGCATGCGTTCTTCCCGTGTCTGCGGATGCAAGTAGTATCCCCCGTTTCCCAGGAACTTCGCAGGCTGCCGTCAGCAAGGGAGGTGCTACTCATCGCTCCGAGCGAGCAGCGGGCTGCGGGTACAAGATGGCGCAGCAACGCATTCAATACACCGCCGGGGCCAGGGGCCAAGACAAGCGAAGAGTCGCGAAAGGACAATTCAAGCGCATACAGCGCGAAGGGCCAAACCATATCCCGGCCACCAGGGGGCACGCAAGCACGAAGTGTGCAGACGGCAGTGGGGATCGCAGCAAGTGGGATTCAGACGATGCGACGGACGAGCGGGTTTCACTGCTGCCGGATTTCGTCGGCGATTACCAGCGCTACACGTGTCGTCTGCGTGCCGTAAGTGACGCACAGAGGCAAAAGCTACTGCGAGGCGGAGACGTTGAGCGGAGCCCGAGCCCCATAGCAGCACCCCGGATGACCGTTCCCTCACTGACGCCGGCCAAACTCGCAACATTAATGGCGCAGGGAGCAGACATGATAGCCATCCGGGAGACATGGAAGTCGTCGGAGCAGATCGCCAGCATGCATACTGGAGAGTGTGTGCTCCACGCACAATCACGTATCCGCAAGGAATGTGTTGCAGCGGTGTTGGTGCGGAAAAACCTCCGCTCCAAGCGCATGCACCTCATCACTCCTCAACGTGATTCCAGCCTCGAAGTGATGGTCCAATTCGCGCTGGGCCAGAACCGTGATCTTATTGTGGCGAGCACCTATATGAGACCACCGCCGCAACCGACACAACCCCTAGGCGGTTGCTGAGCTGCCTCTCGGTCTCGTCGCCGCTCATTCCGTGTGGAGATTTCAACGTGCGTCGCCCACGGTGGGAGCCCTTCCTGGAGACCCCTCCAAGCAACTCCGCTGTAGAATTTTATACAACCGCGCACGGATGCAGGACGCACCTTGGTTAACACCCCTGGTGAAACAAAGCATGCTCGTGGTGCAAGAGAGAGATCCTGTATCGACCGGACATGGTCAAGGCATCTTACCGTGTCCAACTGGACAGCCAATGTGCCGCCGCTCAGTGACCACTATGTGTTGGCACTCACGCTGCGTCAGGCATTTAAGGATACCATGCCCTCGGCACCCACTTCTGTGCGTCGAGTTTTCTACAGCTGGTGGAAGTCCAAGTGGGAGTCCTTCGCCAACGACCTCGACGCACAACTTCCAGCATGCGACCATAAAAAGCAATCAACCGGCATTAAAGCTTTTACGAGAGCACTTGCAGTTTCACTTCGACGGCATTGACCCCGCGGCATGCACAAGGATGATCCCAAGCTCCGGGGCGACACCCTTGCGAAGGCAGAGCGGATTGCTACCGACAGCAAGGCCCGCTGTCTGCAGTTACCGACGCCCGACCGTGAAGCAGAGACGCAACGGGCAAGGAGCCAATTCTTCCTCCTACTCCGAGAGCGCTCGTGCAGCAAATATCGGCGTCGCATCAGCAAGTTAAACCCAGGCAAACCACTCGCCTAAAAAATACATTCCGGACGTAAAAAGACATCAATTCCGTCTCCCACAACGGCGTTGATGCGCGATGGCCGCAAGAATAATTTCAGGACAGCAAGGAGAGCAGCGGATGCGCTCAATCTTGGATTCCTCCCCACCTCGCAAGGCGATTGGGTCTTCCAACGGGAAAAAACGGAGAAAACAAGTCCTTGTGTATTTCTTCTCCCTCCCCTTCTTAGGCCGCAGAACAACAACGAGTCGGCCGCCTCATCTTCGATAGGTTCCTTCTCTCCCCTCTCTCTGGATGCCTCTTTTAATCGTACGGAACTGCGTGCAGCGCTGCGCAGCACACCGTACGGCAAGGCCCCGGACCGGACGAAGTCTACAGCGAGGCGCTACCACATCTTTCGACGAAGTGTCTCCGACTCCCTCTCCGGCGCATCAACCACAGCCGGACAGCCGGCACGATTCCGGTCCAGTGGCGACGAGCCCACATCGTTCCAGTCCTAAAACCCGG